TAAAACCTTTTCTTTCATTGTGAGCTATACTAACAAGTACTTTTCCAATTTTCCTTTAATAACGCTGTTATGAGGATTGATGTTATCCGGATTGAAATTGGTATTACAGATTCGCGATATGGTGGTAGGGTCAAGTGAAACACGGCAATGGGTACATATCGTAGTTCATTTGAGACTTTATAATCGTGGCTGGAGCGAAATATTTATTGAAAAAATTTCTCAAACTTTCTATTTCTTTGCGAAGAATTTTTCGATTTCTGCTAATCCGTTAGTTCCATGATAGCGGTATTGAAGATGTTTTTTGCAATTAGATTTAATTCAGATAAAATATTCCAAAACCCATTTTAACACATAAAGATTAAATTTTGTTCCCGTGTACTAAACATCTACTAGATCTGCCGAAGTTTTGTACATTTTCAAGAATATCGGATGGACTTTTCGGGCAAAATGCCACCCTTTTCACTTCCTGATTTTTGGTAATCTTTTTCAATCACTGATATCGGATTTGAATAATTGCATGAAGGAAGAAAAGCACGCAATTGAAAGCACGATTCATAGTTATATCTAAAATATAGTTGAGCTGTCAATATGGAGAATATTGAACTGATTGACCGCAACTGAAGTTTTGTATCGCTAAATTAACTGCGGTCCGAAAAATATGAACAGCGTTGGTCTTCGCAATTTCTTATTCAGTTTGCTGACATGAGCATTAAAGAGTCATTATAGATATTAAAGATTTCACAGGATAGGCTGAATTTTTTCTGGACTAGACTTTACAAATTTTCACTTCTTAAATTCACAACTATATATGTGTGTTCTCATTTTTCATAGCAAATTTCAATTTTTTGAGTGCTGTCTCTCTCTCTCCCTCTCTCTCTCCCTCTCTTTCCCTCCCTTCTTCTCTCTCTATATATATTAGTGTAAATCTACATGTTAGCTTTTTAGTTTCCTTCTGGCGTGAATAGCTTGCCGAGAATTCAAGCACCGTTGGCAGCGCGCGATCGTGAAAAATCCTTCGTTGCTTATTTCGGTGCTGGTATGAGCGGATCTGGTACAGTGAATCGACCAGGAAGAGCGCAAGATACTAATCAAGTCTATCTTTTATATATGATTGAGGTTTTTCAGGATTTGTAGTTTTGAAAATAACTTGCTGAGTCTATTTTTGTTCTTTTCCGAGGTTGTTTTCGACTGATTTTTTTTTATCATTAGCAGAACCTTTCGTATTTTGAATTATTCAGTTTGTCGAAAGATTTCGTGTCAATTTTGACATAAAATAGCCTTTTTTATTTGGATAATGTTCTAAAAATTTTTAGGTGCAAGTAAATGTTAATCCAAATCCGGCAGCAGCAAGCAATGGTTTGCATTCTGATGGTGATGCCCCTGAAATCCGCAAATACAAAAAAAAGTTTAGCGGTGATGTACGTTGTTTAAGAAAAACTTCAGATCATTCTATTCCAGAGAATTATATTAGAATATAATTTGATGATACCGTTAGCAAAGATGGTACCAATATAATAATATGAATCTTTTGAGTAAAGTCGCATATGAAAATATGAAGTTCGCAAAGTTGACAGAGCGGAATTTTTCTGTTTACGATTATAATAATAGATACATTCGAGTTAGGTCAGTAGCATTTAGTGTTACTATTTTCAACGATAATTTGTGTACCAATTTTTTTCCTTTTCAGATTCTGTGTGCAGCACTTTGGGGAGTGAATTTATTGATAGGGACTGATTCAGGTCTTATGTTACTTGATCGGAGTGGTCAGGGCAAAGGTAATTATGTTACATACATAAATCTTATCAGAAATGTGATGTTGCATGTTTTCTCCAAATCAGAATTTGTAATTTACACAAAATTTGATCGAAAATATTATGGAGTGTTGTCAGTATATCTCATTGCACTTATGCTAGATTATTTCTTATATCAATATCTCATTACTTAACTGCGATAATTTGATGAAGGGACGTAGACATAGAATTGCTGAAATTGGATTGCTTGCTTCCATGTGATAACAGTGATAAGCATCCATATTTATTTGATTTGTAGTGTATCAGTTGATAACACGTCGACGCTTTGAGCAAATGACGGTGCTTGAAGGTCAAAATATACTCGTAACGATAAGTGGACGAAAGCGGCGAATACGTGTATATTATTTGTCATGGCTCAAACAAAAAATTCTTCGAACTGAAGGTGTAAGTGGTGTTGAGGTAAGTATGTAAAACAATTCTGAGAGAATGAGTTATGATTCTGGTTCTTTTGCAGAAGATGAAGTAGAACTTTCTTCTATGAAGTCGATACTTCTCCACAAACCCTTATATTTCAATATTTAAAAACATAGAGAAACCATCAATCCATCATAAGTTGTGGTTGTGATGAACCTAATAATCGGTATCATATACATATGCATTATAACTATGGAATTATCCAAACTAATGTTCTTAGCAGTGTTTAAGTGATTGGATCAACGACCTCTTCTGAAAGTCAGTATGACTGTTAGCGATGCTCCCTTTAATTGCAATCTTGACGAAAAATCACTTTAAAAACTTCAGTTAGAAAAAAGAAATGGCTGGGTGAATGTTGGTGATCTGCAAGGTGCCGTACATTTTAAAATTGTCCGTTATGAAAGGATCAAATTTCTCGTGGTGGGTTTGGAAAGTACGGTTGAGATTTACGCGTGGGCCCCGAAGCCTTACCACAAATTCATGGCATTTAAGGTTTATTTTCTTGTGTTCTTTTATATTCATTATATTTTCGAAGATTTTTTTCGATGTGGAGCCCAATTTAGCAAATGGAGCTACTGTATCAATTAATTCACTTTAAAAGTAAATAGAGTTCAAGCTTCACTTCAGACTTCACATTTCCATAACTTCATATGCATATGTACATATTACTTACCACAGAATCATCCGACGTTCTTAGTAATGCTTAAATAGTTGCATTATGAAGTGTTATGAAAGTCTAGGAAAAAAAAAAAACATATGAGCTGTTTTAGTGCTTTCTTTTAATCTTTGGAAATCTTTTCTGATGGTGATTGTGAGGTCAATTTTTTGTTTCTAGGCATTCAGCCAACTTACTCATTTACCGCTTATTGTTGATTTGACAGTGGAGAAAAATTCCCGTTTAAAGGTACTTTATGGTTCTCGTGAAGGATTTCATGCCATCGATTTGGATTCCGGTTCTATTGACGACATTTATACACCTGCTAATGTATGTTGTTATAGTTCATACTGATTCCTGTTGGAACTGCAGAGGATAGTTTTAATAAGATTATTCTATTGCTGTATAAAGGCTGCTCTCAGCACTCATAATTTCTTAACTTTTACTTAATATTTTGACTGATTTTGATCATTTTTTGTTACTGCAAATACATTGGCATAGTATTTGGTAATTAATCTCCAAGCATCTTATTTATGACTATCGGACAACAAATTGTAAATTCACTTCATAACTGATGGAATACTGATTTTGAGCAGAAAAAATATCAGCTTAACCAAAGGTGTTTTGTTCTTTGCTGTGAAATGAAATAAACCGAGAATAAGCAGATACTTTAAGCGGAATACTGTAATATTGATAGTTTCGAAATAATTTGCTTCTTAGAATGATGTTTATTCCTCATTTTTAGACGGAAACCGTAGTTACACCGCACTGCATAGTGATAATGCCGAACAGTAACGGGATGCAGCTGCTGCTCTGCTACAATAACGAGGGCGTCTATGTTAGCACATATGGTAAAGCAACAAAGAGCGTCTTTCTGCAATGGGGAGAAACTCCCTCTTCTGTAGGTGAGTTGAGTTAAATTTAAAAACTACATTTCTTTATTCACAGTAAAGTTTTGACCAGTTTTGAGTAGAATTGAGTATATAGAAGTTTTTTGATGCAAACTGTTAATCTAAAGCAAATTCATCAGTTGAAATATACATACATTAACGTTACACTCGTAACTCTTCCCAAAATGCTATTATCATTTCAAATCATTTACTCAACGAGCAACTTATTGCATCTGTCGTAATCACAGGTTAATCGCAATTGATGTTTGATCCTTAGAATCTTTTTTAAAGTCAGCTGTTTATTCTTTTCAGCTTATATTTCAACGGGTCAGATAATGGGATGGGGTAATAAAGCAATAGAAATCAGATCTGTTGATACTGGCCATTTGGATGGTGTTTTCATGCATAAAAAAGCGCAGAAATTAAAGTTTTTATGTGAACGCAATGATAAAGTAAGCATTTGTTCTTTATACTTTAAAGTGCCAGTTATTGACGAAAATGCTAGTACTGGCTGCTTATCTTTTAATTTTTGCTCCGTAATTTGAGTTTGCAACTCTTAGCCTTTCTGCTGGTATTGATGACGCATAGGTACTTTTGTTTACTGCGTTGCACATATCAGACGTCTTGGTCCCCGTCGTATTCTGGTTGTATCTCAACTTTAAGTAATATATTCCATTATGAAAGTACACTAAGTTTCTATCTGTACTCGTAGACCGTTCACTTTATTCAGGTTTTCTTTTCGAGTGCAAAAGGAGGAGGAGCATGCCAGATCTACTTTATGACGTTGAATAAACCCGGGTTATCAAATTGGTAAATGTTTGGAGGTTAACAAGTTTGCTGGAGCTCTTATTTAAGAAGATTTTAGAATAAGCAAGTTTTTTTTTTTTTTTTTTTCCTTAAAATTTATTTTTGAAATGCCTTGTGTATTTGTTGCTGTTATTTTGTTTTATGTTTTATCTACATTATGATTGATATCATCATCAGTTCTAACTTTTGCATTGTGGACGGTTAGCAAAAGTGAGATTCTTAAGGAATTTTCAATTTATTGAAGGATGATATATATTATGAGAGCAGAGTTCTGTATTTTAGTGCTATATGATGAAAAATTATAAGATATAGGCTTCATGATGAAAATTATAAGATTTTTTTTGTATTCGAAAAGATTTATAGTATATTTCGTAGAGTTGTTGCTGCAAAAGTGAAACTGAAGCAGTTTCTCACTTTAATGAGATGCAGACGTATGGTGAGTGATTTCTGCCTTATCTAACAAAATTTAATTGATGTATGTATTGATGACAGATATGCATTTATTCTCCTTTTCTCTTTAATGCTTCTTTAATTATGTGTATCTTAATTGGAATCTTAAGGAAGCAATCTTTTATTTTTGAGACCTTTTTTGGCAATGAAAGTTACTTTGTCGAATTTTTTCAAACTGAAGTTCTCATAACTTTTCAGCGTTTGTTTTTCAAGCTTTTTGCTCAACAGGTACTTGGGTAAGTATCAAGATGTTGTCTTTCTTCTGCTGTCTGTCGTTTCCTCCCCTGTAAACATTTTTTGAGACTCATAATCTGCAGTTAAACTGGACCTTCTTTATTATGAAATTTCGGATTTGCATTTATTCCTGTGTTTCAGCAATCAGTTTATCAAAAACCGTTTCCTTTGATAAATATCATATGTCCTCCTAGTTGTATTGACACCTACTGTGAACCTACAACTTACAGAACAGTTGAATTGTATTTCAGTTTTATGGAACAGAATGTAGGTTTTCTTTCAGTCCTTGTATATCTCAACTTTCTCTCTGACTGAAAGTTGAGTTCACTATAAATATAAGTAAACTACTGAAAACTGAGTAGGTTAACTTTGGTTTTTATTGTTTTGTTTCTGAATTCAGTTTTCCACAATGCTGCTTAATCTGCTAATTCACTGTTTTGTTCATTTTCAAGAATTTTATTTGTCTTTTAATATGCTTCAGAATTGATGGTGTGCTATAATATGTTATAGTGATTGGTTTGATCCATGGTTATTAGGTTTATACTGTACGATGTGTTGTTTTTATTATTTGTGTACCAGTATAAACATTATCATTTCGAATGAAAACAGTTTATTCTATTAAATGAATAAAAAATTCCAGATTTAAGAAATAAAATGCTTCCAAATGGCAGTATCGGTCATTGTTCTTCATACAATCGTAAGAGCCGGCTTAATGACGACTGATGTTGGTGGTTAGCCCAAATCCATCATTCCCTCTTCCTATCCATATCCTCTCTTCTTTCCTCATTAGTTACTGTTTTCAAAGAAACATGGCAGTCAGTTTAATAAATGATGGGACTGGGTTTAATAAGTGATGGGACTAGGTTCATTCTTTGCCTTTGATTGGTGAAAAAGTTTATACCCATCATAAACCTCTGATTGGATTTGATTTATTGTAATAAATGGTGCGAGTTAAATTGTAGTTAAGAAAGGTTAAAAATGTTCTGTGAAGTCCAGGAAACAATCTGTCAATTCAAATTATTTTCCCATAATTCTAAATACATTGTTAACAAACCAGAACTGTTTCATTGATAGAATATGCAACCGAGGTCAAATTTTCTGATGAAATATTCTAGAAAAGCGCAAAGCATATGTGTACGGCAATGCTAGCTGTAACTGCAGCAGCTGTTATCGCAACCTTCGCTTATTGCTATTATAAGGGAGGCAAGTGGCCATTCGAGAAAGTCTCTCGCAGTGCACCTGATCATGTAAATATATCTCTGAAATGACTGTTTCCAAATAACGATAAACATTTTAGTTAAAAAGTTTAAATAATGAGTAATTTTCAAATTTTGATGAAGAAACTGACCAGAAAAAGCTACTATATTTTCCTTTTCTCGCTTTATTGTGTAAAGAAATTAATCAGAATTAAAAAATTTTAAATTAAGTAAAAAAAAAGGTAAATGAAGAAGTATAACATAAACTGTTACATTTGTCTTTGTGGGTTAGATTTCTCGAAACATATGTGGCGTAGTTTCAGGAATAGAAAATCCTTCCAGAAATTTGGATAGCATTTCAGAACTGACAATGTTTGTACACTGAAAATCGGATTATCATTTAAAAACAATTTGTGCTGTGCCCGTTCTCAACTGTAACTTCAATTATCGATCGATAAATTCATATCTTTAAACAGTCCTTTCCTAATGCATATTCAGCTTACATAACTTAAGCTTCATCAAATGTATCATCGAAAAATGGAAAACCTAAAAAATTGTAGTTGGAATCATTATGTACAATAAAAAATTATGCATTATTAGAAAGAGGCAACGAATAATCACAGAAAGAATAAATTTGTCATGGCGATTCCAGTTGTTTAAGCATGCTCATTATTTGAAATTTATAACAATTACTTGTAAGCCCTATCAAAGGTTAAATTGCCGTTCATCAGCTTGTCCTTTTTTTTATTTATGGTATCGAAAAACTTACTATCCAGTATTTAAATCTCGAAACAAAAGTATAATTCCATGGAATAATCGACCCCCAGTTGTAACTATGGTGTCGGTCCTAAGGTGACTGTCAATCTTTAAACTTTACAGACAGTCTGGATTTAACATTTATTCTTGTTGTCATATGTTTGCCTATATTGAATGACAAACAAATGTGGTCAAACATTTCCCTTTGAAAAAATGGCAACGAAAAACATGCATATATAGCAGTGGCATGCATCATCTGCAGGTAATACAATCTTCGCCATGAATTATTTATAATTAATTAATATTAATATTAATTAATTATTATTATAAGCTGTGTTAGTACTAGCTGCGTTAAATTTTTCACTTTCACATTTAAATAAATAACATTTTTACAGATTATTCGACTCTACATTTCTAATAAAGCATTATATTTCCATGTCACAAATTAAAAAATTTTTTAAATATGTTGTACAATGATATCCAGCAGGCTGCAAAATTTTCAACATAATTATTTGGAATATTTCTCCAAATATTTTTTCTTACTTTTTCCTGCAAAATTTGAAAAATTTACCAGCCTTTATTAATTGTAACATTATGAGGCATTTGTAAAACAATATAAATTATAGCGAAATAAATTACAATATAAACTGCAAACCAAAATATAAACCAAAGTTTTATAAATTGTGTCATATAAATTATGGATCCACTAATTTCTGAATATTCATTTTTATTAAATGACCTTTCTTCATATTTTAACCCATCGGATAATGTTTTTTTATTTTTTTCTTTTTATTCCTAACTGAAAAATGATCTTTGCTGTAATAAAAAAAAAAAAAAAAAACGCTACTATGAAATTATATTCTGCAACAGATCGCCAATATCTTCAATTGATCTTAAGACTCGACATTGAATACTTGATTCAATGGATCTATTTCTGAGGACAGATGAATCGCTCTATCCAAATATTTTCGTAAAATTTATTAAAATGTCGATGTCATTCTCTTTAAATTCTGTTTCTATTATGTACTTTATGGAATGTTGTGAAAGTTGTTCTTTTCTTACTTCATTCTACGGCAATGCGAAATCATTCCATGCTGCCAGTCCATTTCGGCATTGTAATTCAAAAATTTTTTCCTTCTATTTGATCGTTTTTTGAATACTTTCTGTTACGTGCCTTATTAAATTTATTTGAGCTTCTCTGACCGAATATTATTCAATTTCTGTTTTCAGGAATCCTCCGACTGAACAGAAATTTCTGATGGTTTATATCGGAATTGTAAGCTCTCTTATTTATGTAAAAGTAACTTAAACATAATCAAAACCCTAAAAAGTTACACCTATGTCTTCTGATAATTTCCAGTTTTTTTAATGGGGAGGTTTTGAAGTTTTGATAATCAAATTTATATTTAGACTCATCTTGATTTTTTATAAAATCTTAAGTTTTTCCGGCATGTTTTAGTATGGAAATAGTTTAAAATAGCTCTTAACTTTTCGTGTTCGATTTACCATTCTATTCAAATACTCTACTTACTCAACTAATAGCAAGTTTAGGAACAATAATATTGCTAAAAGCATAATGTGTGTCGAAGAATGAAATCTTTCAAGCATATTTGGAATTACATTGAATAGGTCCTACTTGGTCGAGCTCTTATAGGTCTAAAATGTTGATTTCAAGTGGTCTAAAGAAAGCAAGTTAATACGTCACTGATCATTCTAAAAATTTTTGTCGAAGCTTTTGTGGAAATATTTCTTACTAGGTCAAAAAGTGAAACAAAAAAAGATGATACAATACCCCGAAGACCAGCATTTGATCGTTCTTTCCCAAATCTTTGCCTGGCTTGTCTGACTTGTCCGAGGCAAAATTGTTTTAGTGATACTTGAAGATTCCACGCTCGAAGGAGTTTAAGGATGAAAACACAATCAGATGACAAAAAAGATTAAAGGAGACCAACTTTCAACGAAGCTAGAGAACACGTTTGGCTAAAAAAAAGCTACCATTAGTCCAGTAACTGCCGTCGGCTACTTTTTAGGCCAACTGTGACCACCAAGGACACCAAGACCCAAAAAAACAAGTAAGAGCAAATGCATATGTTTACCTTTTAACGTTGATGGCCGCAATGGGTGGATTACTATTTGGCTATGATACTGGCATTGTCTCCGGGTAAGTGATAGTATCTTAGCTGGATTTTGTTCTCTTCAATTTCTTTTTTCACTTTATTGTCTTTTCCACTTTAGTTATGCCAAAAATTAGATTTCATTGCAATGATTTTCAATTACACATTTGTTTTTTAGATGCAAATTGTTATCGCATTTCTTCATTAAATTGCATGAGAGTTACAATTAAGAAAAGTTTGTTTTCTTTTTTACTTTAAAAGAAGCAGAACTAATTTTCAGCATAATGCTATATTTGCCTCATAATAAATATATGGATGGTTTATCAACTGTTTGGAAGGAAATTATAATCAGTATAACATCCGGAATGGCAGGTATTGCTGCTCTAACCGCAGGTTATTGAAGTTCCTTTTGAATTTTAGTTTTTAAGCCATTCTAATATTTTACCTTCAAAAATATTTCGAAGGAGAAAATGCATCATCACGATTAATCGATAATGATGTTAGCACTCTTGATGAGTATCCTATTTGGTATGTTATCCTCTATTTAGTATTCTTTTTTGGCAAAGATTCGAAAGTTTCTTTACATTCCAGCCAGTTGTCCTTGGACTTCTTCGCCCAGTCATAACCATACCACCACATTGCTAGCAGATGCAATCTTATGGGAAGCAAATTGTATTTACTGTAAAAATTATTTAGAATCAGTTTTTTGAAGTAGTTTAAAATTCACCTAAATTTTATGAAAAAACAAACCTGTAAAATTTGCTTAAAATTATCAAACATAGGAAAAAGCAGCGATAAATTCGGTCGTCGAAAAGTGATAATATCGGCCACTGTGTTCTTTATCGCTGGCGCTATTATTTGCGGTGTTGCTTTCGGTCGGTGGACATTGCTCATTGGACGCATATTGTTGGGGATTGCCATTGGTATCAGTTGAATATTTTATGTCTCATATTAATTTACAGGAAATTTTGATAATAATGTTATTTGTGATGAAGGATCTAATACTTTTAACAATTAAAATTAGAAGTAATAGAATCAAAGATGAAGTTCTCCTATTAACAGGAAAATGCTAAGATACCGAAGTAAACTAATGTGAATCACTTGCAATCACTTTATTGTTATACAGAATTACAGGATTTGCATCCATGGTTGTACCCGTATACATAAGCGAAGCGGCCCCCGCGAGAATACGGGGGAAATTGGTAACAATTTATCAGTTCATGGTGGCATTTGGATTTACGGTCGCCAATGCTGTGGCGGCGTGGTTCGCTCAATATGATCCAGTGAATATTGGTTGGCGCTTGATGTTCGCATTTGCTGCTGTGCCGGCTTTAGTTCAGGTACTATAATCTTTACTTTCTTTCGAAAGTTTTCGACTTGTTTGAAATTGTAATTTCGTAAAACAAATTGACGTTACTATGTAAAAAGTTTCTATAACGTTAACATCACTGTAAAAGGAGTTTCTATGACTTCACATAGGTTCATAATTCTCATTTTTCAGAAATTGAAAAACTTCCGGGAAAAATTATTTGAAGGAATGGCTTTTAAAAATTCAGATGTAAATTCGAAATTGAAGCAACACCGAAAAGTGTATTTTCAATATATCCCTTTCACTGTGGAACTAATGAAATCAATTTAGCTAGTCGGTTTCCTCTTCCTACCAGAAACACCACGTTACCTGATCAATCACGGGCGTGAAAAAGAAGCACAAGAGGTTTTGCACCGGTTATATGATAACGATAAGGAATGGATTGCTTATGAGATGGGTGAAGTAGCGCGTGAAATGCGACGTGAGGCAATACTTCGTCAAGAAAGCGGTAGATTAACTTAAACAAATAAAAAAGACCTAAATAAATTAATTAAGATTTTCATGCCAACATCATATCACATTTCTTTTCACAATATATCATTAGTTAGCATTTCTTCTATGTAACTTAATCTTGTTTCGAACTTTAGATGGAAATTGGGTAAAATATGTTACATTTGCTTACTATGAGCTCATATTTCCCTTCAGCATTTCCTCTCATCGTTACAAAGTACATTTATTAATACTCCTTAAGTATCAGGAACTGTGTGAAATAATTTGCATACAAATTTGAATGGATTTGAAAATGATATGTTATTGATAGGAGATGAATTCGTCCTTCGCAGAGTGTTGAGAACGGCGCATGTACGAAAAGCTCTGGCACTCGGCTGTGCTTTGCAGATGTTTCAGCAGCTTGCTGGAATAAATACTATTTTGTAATTCTTTTCTTTCAAAGTTATAACTGTTAGAAATTTGATAATTATTTTCTCAAACTAGTTTATTGTTTTAGTGCTGTATGCATGGGAAAACAAACCTTTTAAAATTAACGATATTACTACCTCTGTTTCTTGTTTCGTTTTGTTTTGCTTTTTTTAGATGTTTATAAGGAATAGTGCATCCATGCTTATCGATCAATCTTATGAGAATATGAATGTTATCCTATCATTTTGATTTAAGAAACGTCTTTCGAAAATTTTTGAAGTATGAAATGAACTTGAGTTTATAAAGACTAAATGGAAAATTATTTATCAATTTAAGATATTATACCAGTAGTATTATTCGTTCTGCTGGCGTACACGATAAAATTACAACAATTTGGATTTCATGTGGTATTTCAAGTAAATACTTTTTTTGTTTCAAGTAGTTTTTTAACTGACCAATCTCTGTTGACCTTGTTTCAGCACGCAAGACTCTAATAATTACTAGGATCTAAAACTACATATTTTTTTTGCAATTTTCTTTTGAAAATTTTGTAGCTGTACAAGCGGTAGGGACAATACTACCACTGAACTTGATCGAAAGACTTGGGAGGCGTACTCTTGTGTTGTCGTCTCTAATCGGTGTTGTTATTACATTGTGTATGATGGGTGGTGCGTTCATCCTTATCAATTATGATTCCTCAAAAATTAATCCTGGTAAGTGATAACTGCTGATGATGGTCAGGAATTGTCGGCATCGGTAATTAAGTTGCTACAATTATTATATGTAAATGTGTAATAGATAATTTGCGTTAGTGTTGTTAGCACAAGGCAAGCTTTTCAGGAAAATTCTTTAAAAGAATGAAGTAAGAAAACTTGGTATTGAATCATGAAATACTTTCCTAAAAGTGTTTTGTTATGAAATGTTTTAGTTAGTTATGAAATACTCTCTTTTACAAGAACCAATCCTTTTTTAAGCGCAGGCTTATATTGGTATAGATATGAATTCTACCAACACGAACAAGGAACTACTAGACTTATGTTTCGGATTCAGGTGAATCAAAAGATTTACTAATTTTTCAACTAGACATGAAAAACAATAATTTTGTCAAAATAGCCTTCTACATACTCGAGAATACCACAATGCAGTTTTTCGAATAATAAAGATTTTAATTCTGATGTGCACTTCATGTTCAGAATTGATATTATTTTCGTGAACTTTTTATCAATCTGATCATTTGAAAATAACAGGTGAAATATGCAACATCCGAGATTTCGAAATTTGTTCGATCTTACAGGAATTGCGATGAATGTGTAACATCAGAACATTGTGGATATTGTAGTCTGAAGGAAGAATCTTCATCATTAACAACAACTTTTGGGCAGTGCCTACCTGTTAATTCAGAAAATATTCAACACTCACTTTATGGATACTGTAAGGTATGTCTTCAATAGACGTATCTTATACTTAAGATCAGTTGATCGCTGCACAAACCTAAATCAAAGAAAAAAAAACTAGTTTAGGATAAAATGATAATTAGTGACTCCTTTTCTAGAATGATTAATAAATGAGATTTAAATTTGTGGGATCGATTAAAATTTATGTATCTTGTTAGCTGTACCTTATGATAAGGAATCTCCAGGAAAATTATTGCTGAACATGATGGGACACATTCCGAAAAGCCTTCAGAGGAACTAAAAACAATTTAGAACGGAACTGTTTGAGCTGTTGATAGCTCATCGATAATAGATTAATTGAAATGCACTATCACCAGAAAAATCGTTACAAATTTGTTCGGAATAATTACACTAATTATTTCATGTTCACTTTATTTTCTACTTCATTTTTGAATTTAATGTTATTTTTCAGGATAGCATGAACAATGCGACTGCTTATTCATTTACTGATACATCTTGTAAAACCCGATTTACAGCATTACCAATAGTAATTATGATACTCTACATTTCTGTTTATTCCCTTGGTAAGTTTCTATAGTTCAAAACAAGTTACTGAAAGACTATTAAAAAATTTTCTTAATTATCCCCCAAAGTCATCAGTATTTCAGGTATGGGTCCAATCCCATGGGTTTTCAATGCCGAGGTTTATCCGATTTGGGCGAGAGGCACATGTGTTGCTTTATCTACATTTACAAATTGGACCTTCAATCTTTTGATGTCGTTAACATACCTCAGCTTAAGTCAAGCTATCACCAAACATGGTTCTGGCGATCTCCACACTTTTTTCAAAATTTTTTTTTTCAAATGAAACTGGTGATTTATACATTACTTAACAAAAAGGAAAGGATTAAGGACAAAAATAATAACGTGGCTCTACCGCATGAGACTATCGTAAGAATAGAAGTTAAGAGTATTCAGGAACGGGCAGAAAACTGAAAAGTTCAGGACTTTGATGTCATAATTTTAGGTGCGTTCTTCTTATATGCTGGTATTTCATTCATTGGCTTCATCATATTTTATTTCTTTGCGCCGGAAACACGTGGAAGACGTATTGAAGAGATTGAACGATTATTCATGAGTGAAAAAGAAATAACACCTGAAAGAAATCAACGACACGAAAAAACCGTGTCTGCTTCTGTTATCTAATCTTTTTTCCGTAATGTGAACTATATTGTGCTATGAAATAAGTGGATTTTGTGGTTACTGCTATCAAAGTAATAGATTTGTGATTAGTGGCATAAAAAAGAAAGTGAGATTAAATAAATTTTCAACATTCATTCAGAGGTTAAATGAATAGGGCAGCAATGTGACTTGCTATAGAAATAATTCAATAAAGCAATAGAGATACCATGTATTGTTGAAAAGCATTTACTAATACATTTTGTCAAAACAATTTTACAAATTGTTTACAAATAAGGAACAAAAATTATGAAGAATATGAAGGGAAACAAGTCTGGGTAAGCAACTCTTTAGAAATAATATTAAGGGCTACCGTATTGATAGGTCGGGAAAACAAATTTTGTTAATTCAGTCTTTTCAAAATCAGTAAAAAACATAGCAATCATATAATCAAACTATAAAAAAAACAATATTTTGAATATTGAAAATCGATTTGCTTTAACTCGCACAGCAGTTTGCAACTGAAAAAAGGAAAAAGAAAGACGATAGCAAGTTCCGTTTTATGAATAAGTTGGAAGCAGTCAGAAGACCTTTGCAGGAAATTCTTGCTATTGATTGCACTATTGAAGCCATAAAACTTAGCTGTAAATCGTGGTGAAACCTATCAAACTGAACTTTTCAAGAACGATAAAAGAAAAGGACAATTATGCATCCGAAATCGAAGCAAAATTTGGCAGAAAGAGCTAATGACTTCATCTTCTCATCAGTTGTATCATATTTCACAAAATTATTCACTGACAGTGGTCAAAATAAAAATTGTTTCCTTGCAAGACTGCTAAAAAAGGAACGCTATCTTAAAAAGCACTTAACTTTTCCAAAAACGATAAAAGAAAAACATAGAAACAATGAAAGTCATGCAACCCACACAAAAAATAATCCAGTCTTCACTTAATCGCCTTTCAATCATTTGTAATGTTGTCGATGATAAGCCAAGCTAAAATGGGCAATAATTATGTACCTAAACCTTCATTCGATAACAATGACAAAAATCGCATGTTCAGCTAAATTTAATGCTCATTAGAAGCATTTATTTCCTCATCAATGCATTTCTTTAAGTGTAAAACTTTACAAAATACTTCCATATGCTATGGTATACCTACTAAGCGGAAGATTTTCTCTCATTGCAAGGGACAAAACATAAAAAAAATTTAAGTGAACATAATCAATCTGCAGCCTCTCCAGCTGATCTTTGTGTCATTTCATTTTTCTCTTTGAAAGATTACAAATTTGCATATTAAGAACTATTTACCGTATGCCCTATACTCAGAACTTTATGCTTGATCCCTCTCAACCCTACTCCTTGTGAACGAATCTGCTCCAGTATCGCGCTTCCGTGGCTAATAAGTTCATCAATAGCATTGTGAGAGGAATGTAAATGATCATGGAGAACTAGTTCGCAGTCTTCGATTGAGACATGTGTTATGTCATTTGGGCGAAATCTGAAATTGCATTAATGAATAATATAAACTGGACTCTGAAATTATAAATCAAAAAATTGAATTAATAGAACCAAGCTGAAAAAACTAAGAATCCAATTACGTCCCCAAACTCCTTTCAAAAAAAAAAAAAAAAAAGCTTTTCCCACCTCTCCACAAACATAAAATACCTTTGAGTAAGAAGTTCTTCCCTTTCAGCAATGGCCCTCCATTTACTTGTCATACGCATGTGCATATTGTCAACTGTCGAGTGCAGTGAATGACAATCGAATTTCAACTGATCCACTTTATATTTGACAGTACGTCGACGATGTGGTGGTTCCTTGCTGACAAATATATCTAGACGTTCACAATTTCCATCAATCTGCCTGCATGTTAGAACTAAATTCGAAGAGTTTAAATTTAAAATTAAGAAAGAGGTTTTCAAAAGTCTATCGACCAATCACAGTGTGTCTGATCAAGAATCGAGGTATCAAAAATAATTGCTAATAATCCTTCTTTCATTTTTTCTGCCAGCATCAAATCCCTACTCATGCATAAGGCCTAACTGTTAAGCATGACTAATTGAACTTGGTGTTCTGTAAGATTCTTTCATAGCGTTCTTCAGTTTTTCTACATTAATACTTAATTAATGAAATCATAACATGTCACACTAAAATACAATTTCGCAAACTTTATGAAAAGACCAGATGTGGAACCAAAACTTACTTCAACCGCTGGTAAATATTTTGGATAATTTTCTGAGCATCGCTTTCATTTCGCATGCCTTCCAAGGTACCTAAGTCAAAGTGTACTTGTTGCAGCAGACTATTTGTTTCGTGATACAAACTTTCCATAATAGACTTACTTCCCTGCTGAAAAAGAAAAAATTTTATTTATCATAAATCATGCAATAATTTCTGACAATGGAGGATGCATGAAATGTATAAGGCAAAGTGTGGGAATGCATGTATAGCTCCGCTCTAGCACAAGTATTCATCAGAAGCATGTCTAAAAATAATACAATGATGACAACATGTGCCGAAAGAATTTCATCCGTGGTTTCCTTTATGGTCAACCATAACCACTTGGCGATAACGGGGCATAGCCAAGGACAATACGAAAATAACGGTCGCAGAGCAGTGGATGGGGTGAAGCGCACTGTTGAGCGGAGGGGGGGGGGTGGCTGTATCATGATTCATTTCTCTTCTTTCGGTTAATTTTTGTGCATCTCACTGTTGAGTTTTCAAATAATCCTGTTAAACTAGCTACTTTGAAAAGTATAAAGTACTGTGAGATCCATTACTTTCATTATTCTTGTTATCTTTTGAAGATGTTAATTTAATCTTCATTCATCGATCGATAAATTGTGTTCAGAGTGTCATTTGTCATCAATTGTTAAATACTACAAAATAACTTTTTTGACTAAGGACTTAATGACCCTTCATTGTGTTTCTTTTACCGTTTGTGAAATTTTATTACTTTTAAAACCTTTCTTTTTTGAATTTTTTCCTGACGGCTTTATACAGACGCCTCTCACTAGGTAACTGAACAATCGTAGTAGCTCATAAACAGTTCCATGTGCTCCTGATGGCTTAACTTCTATGCTATCATTGCTGTACTGTTATACTTCCTTGATCATTATAAGCATGAAAAAGGATCTCAAAATTGAAGAATCGTTGGAGGAGATTTTTAAGATGAATTGTGTGGATGCACTACTTTTTAATACTGATATTACGAAAACATCGAAAAAGTTGTTCTTTAGTAGTATAGTCGAAAGTATGAGCAAAGATGTTGTTTGAGGACAAGAGAGAAGGATGATTTGCTTATTCCATTTAGTTAGGTTTACAGGGAACTTTTGTATGTTCCCAATGTAATTAGCTCTCATTATCTCAGTTAATCCCATAAGCGTAGAGAATTAATTACTAACAGTGTAGTCACATAAGTAATGATAATTTTATTAAGATCTCTCAGTAAGTTTATTATCACCGTGAATTCACTATTTTGTTTCAGTAAAGAGCATGGAAGTTTCCTTCCATTTTCTCCTATCTGTACATTAATCCATGCTGTAAATGTCGAAAATTATTGAGAACATTTCTACGATTACTCAGTATTACCATAGGGGTATTATTGAGAGACATCTCATCATTATGGAAAGAGATATTTATATAATGGATGGAATAAATTAGAATAATTTCCAAGTGAACATTTCAGATCGAGAATCAAAATTTGTTTCAGAGAACTCGAATACTCATTTTTGCCATCTGTAAGGAGTTCCCAGATATTTCTCTTTTTTGTTTTTCTTTTAACTGTGCAAATGGTCGTAAATTACATAGCTTTTGTCTGAACTGAATGAATATTATGCAGGCCGTCGATCAGGAAGTATGCCTTATTTAGAGCACCTGTTGCTGAGCTTGTAGCAAGCGGAACTATTGAATTAAATTTTATTATGCATAATATATGTGCTTCATTCAATATGTCTAGGTATATTCAAATCAAGCACTGGTAATTATCTGCTAAGTACAATCAGTTCATATCGTGCAGTTGAGAAGTGAATTTGGCTTCTTAATTATTTACTAAGTATTTAGCCTTATTAATCCGAGGATAAGTCTGCGATATAAACCTCCTTGTTTCTCTATACAGTTAAATTGACCTTATCGTTTTTATAATAAGTTATCTTTCTACGTTTATAGTCATTAAAGTTTACGGTTTACTGTTATTATGATTATCAAAATGAGACACGAGCAATTTGAGCGCCTTCAACGAAAAATAAGAAGTTTGCAGTTGTAAACTTTTTATGATCAAATAATAATAACAATAAATCGATATAATTTACATCACATAGGATTTTCTCGGTGAACTACATTTTGCAATGCACTTAACAAAGCTGGAAGATAACTCAACTCTGGTGAAACCCGGATGGAAATCGTAGAATTTTTTATAGTAATCTCTCTTAATTCAACTTTGAGGTTTTTGCACGTGCTCAGCAAATATATTTTATTGTCTTCTAATAATACAAGTTTTGATGAACGTATTTAACTATATCACCTAAGTTTGATAAATTTTGTTAGTGGTTTCTGGAGCGGTTACCTAATTAGGATAGGTATTTAAGCCTAATGATTTCTGGAGTGAAATTTCTACTTCAAGCGTAAAGGAAAGTTTCCTATGCTTCTTTTAATTTATTGAACTCCATTTCACTTTCGAGTTGTATTTTTAATAAATCTATTTTTCAGAAATCATCATTATCGATCAATTACACAAGTGCATATGTGCCAGTTTAATGATAAAGAAATATAATTTCTTGCTAGCTTTTTGTCGGAAAATTCTAAGAAACTTCAACCAGTCAATCAATCGAAATTTCAGTCTTATAAACCAAGTATATTCAAAAGTGGAAAATATATCGGCCTGAGTTACTGCAATGAAGATTACAGTGACATGCGACTTGACTGGTGCAAATGTGTTTCCACTCGAAGTAAACAGCGACATGGAAATGGAAAATTTTTTGGCACTTTGCAGATTCGAAATTCCTGTCCTGAATGGTGTACCGATGTC